ACACACACACACACACACACACACACACACACACACACACACACACAGAGGGGGAGAGAGACAGACAGACAGGCAGACAGACAGACACATACACCTTATAAACCAAAAACCAAGCAAAATCGCTACTAATCAACCAAGCAAAGGGGATGTTTGGAGCCACCTCTCTAGCACTGTGGGAGAGTACACATTGCTTTAAGCCACCCCATAGGATGTCAAATCAGGCTGTCAAGTAAGGACCAGCATGCTTCTGGCAAGGGGACAGGAATAGGGAAGGCATCCTGAAGAGAATGGAATTTTAAGGTGGACCCTGAGGATCCTGGAAGGCCCAAGGGAAGGAGCTTTGGGAAAGAGGAGAAGCCAGAGCAGACAGCACCACTGTGAAGGAGAGGAGACCCCTAAGCGTCGCTCTTACCTTTGCTTGGTGCTCGATTTTGTAGGCAGTCTGTTGAAACTGGCGAATCTCTCGGATAATATGGGAGATCTGCAGGAAGGCAGCGGAGGTTTAGACTGGTCTGCTCTCTCATGCTGCCTTGTAGATGGAAAGGGTCATCGCTAGCTATGTCTGAAGCCACACTACCTCGTGGAAAACACCTCAGGCTTTCTTTACACAGCCACCTGTTTCTGAGGTGAAACCTGTCTGTGTGGGATAACGGTGCTAATGTGTGTATGCATGTGGTGTGTGTGTGTGTGTGTGTGTGTGTGTGTGTGTAATAAAGAGACCTCTATTAGTCAGGGCCACAGACTTCCCAACACCACTACAACCAAACCCCAGGCTGCCAGTCAAAGTGAAAGGCATGTGAATGTTTTAATGTTCGAATGTTGGGATGCGAAGCATAAGGGCTTCCCTCCATCACAAATATGGCGCTCCTTGTTTATGTTTGAAAGAAACCCTTTTTATTAATGTGGAAGCCCATTTTACAAGATGGGTGAAAATAGAGGCCTTGTGGTTGGAGTGAGAGAGAGACATGAAGTACTCTTCCTGTTCAGAGGAGTCTTCTTGGATCCTCTCACCCCCATGTCCTGGATCTTTTGTGGCGGATCTGAAACTTGCTTTCTTGGGTGTTGTTGTTACAAAGTGATTTTTCTTTCGTTCCACAAAACAAGCATTTCTGTGGATATTAAATTGTGAGATGTGAAGAAAGGAGTGGGCTTTGGGGTCAGACCCAGCACTCAGAAACCAGCTCTCCTTTTTGCATATGTGGGGCCCTGAGCTGGGTCTTTTGTCCTTGCCCATTCTCCTTTGTAGGGAAGGGTTCTGGGGAAGTGGGAAAGGCAGGGAGCCCGGGGCTAATGACATTAGTGTCAGCCATGGTGTTTACTGGTGGTCTTCCATTGACTGGACTGAGAGCAGGGACAGGCAGAACAGGCTGTGCTCAGGCAGGGGCCGTGTGGCTCAGTCTGGAGTTGTGCCTCCATCCACACAGGGAAACATACCATCCTCATCTTGGAGAAGTTGACCAGGCCGTCCTCCGTGTAATTGGGTGTCCCCTCCTCGATGAAGGCCAAGTCGGTGAGGTACATCCCCAGGTAAGGGACACATGGTGGGTCACAACTTGGAAACAAATGGCATCCACAAAAGTTTTCACTTAAGGAAAGGAACTTCTGCTAAGGACAGAACATCCTGCATGCAGATTTTGCCTGGCTAGAGGCAAAGGGATTTCTAGTTACAAAGAATCACAGGGTAAACACAGGCCTGGACTACCAGCCAGGTTAGAGGGTGGGATAGGCTGGGGGAAGGGGCCTCCGTTGTATCTTCTGTGATCCAAACTGCCTTTCTTTACTTCTCTGGCATCTGCACAGTGGAGTTTCCACAGCTGTTCCCAGCCCCCTCTCAGTTCACTGTTTTCCCCACTGTTACTCTGTGTTCAGTTACCTCTGGGAAGGCTACACCACCCACACCCAAGTTCCAGCAGTCATCACCCAGTGCAGCATTCTTAAGACCTGTCTTCTTTCCACCTAGGTATTCGAGCCAAAGCAGAAAGACCCTGGCCCTCTGACCACTTTCCTGGAAGTATCTTCTGGAAAGAGTGGATGATTCTCAGGGTCTATGGTTACAAGAAATGAGACCCCAGTATGAAGGACCAGGCCTCTGAGGTGTGGCTCTGAGCAGGGGCTCGTGTCCCTTTACCATGGCAGGTTTTCTGGTCCCTTGGGAGGGTGCAGGGGGAGGAATAATGGGGTCTGTGATAAAGTGAGCAACCACGACTCTTCATTTCAGCAGCTTCAGGGGACTCCTGAGACAGTGCTCAGCAACCTCATCACAGCTCAGCACAGACATGACAGAGGGATTATTCCTCTGGCTGCCTGACACTCTTACCATGCTGGAGGAACGTATGTGCACACTTTGAACTAGTCCTGACTCTGTCTCCCCTGTGCTGGGATTAAAGGTGAGCCCCGTCACATCTGCTTTTTGTTTTGTTTTTTATTTTGACTTTTTGAGACTGGGTCTCTCTACATAGCCTGTCTGTCCTGACCATTACGCCTGATTTTATTGGTGCTGGGGATCAAACCCAGTGCTTGAAAGCTAAGCAAATACTCTACCAACTGAGCTACATCTCCAGGCCAAAATGTGCCATTTTAAACTGCCTAGAAGATCATCAATCAAATAGTTATCTAGTAATATTGCTCTCAAACAAAGATAAAGCATTGTCCCACTGTTAAGAGTTGGTAAAAATGGGCCCACTAGTCGCCTGGACAGGAAAACGCTTTTCAGGAAGCTCTTCCAGAGCTCTTTCAGAAAGAGTGTGAAGCCTACTTGATCATGTAATCCCTTTCTTGTTCACTCTCATGCTCATCTTAAACTCCATAATAAAATCTATATGTCTTCTACACTGTACTGTGAATTGTGCCTACATTCATTTGATGGAGATCGATAGGACCAGGAAGCTGAGGAGAGTCTAGAGTAAGATCCCAGTGACAATAGTTGAAAAAAGATTTCAAGGATGTATGAATGGGGCTGAGGACCCACACAGGAGAGCCACTACAGCACTCTTTAGATGGGTCACCATTTCTGCCTGAAGATTATTATCAATTATCTTCTGCTTTTTTGTCTCTTTTCTGGTAAAACAGACTTCGCAGCATCACTGGACATGGTGTGCTCTCCATCTCCGCAGGGCAGATCTGCCTTACATAAAGATCTTGGTTCCCAGAAGCCCCTTAAGCCCTCTGCCCTGTGCCACTGGCAGCAGAGGGTTCTAGGGGAGGCACTTACACAGGCATACAGATGACCTGAAAGGGAAGACAGTCAGGAGAGGGACTCAGACAGAATGGGAGCCACGGAGACAATTAGGTAGCAGTAGTGGCTGCAGTGGATGAGGAAGCCGTGTGAAGGAGGCAGATGGAGCAACGCCCAGAGGCAGACGGACAGTTGGTGAATGCACAGTGGGGCAGCTCCGTACAAGCACAGTCCACAGGGGCTCCTGGGAGCCCGGGCGGAGGAGAGACGGCCGGATAGCACAGATGGGTTCAACATCTGTCTGAGGACATAAACAGAGTGGAAATGGTCAAGGCAATGGCACACCGAGCTAGTGAAGGATGGACAAGAAGTAGGGCAGGAGGGAAACAAGAAGAGGAGGCAGGTGAGGCTGGCTGGGAAGAGGGAGTGAGGAGGGCATTCCAGCCAATGTCAAGGGCTGGAGGTTTTGGCTGCCCCACACCAATGTGCAGTGACCTCTATTGAGACTCTTATTGGCTATGGTCAAGAGGTCTCTTACAGAAGGGAGGAGAGTATTTCTTGAAGTTAGAGGGACCCAGCATCACCAAGGTCCAGTGAGGAGCCATCCAGCCAGGAGTGAGACGGGGACAAATGAGGGTAAAGCCTAGTATGGATGCCTAAAGAAACCATCTCTAGGGAATAATAAAAACAATCTTTTTCTTTTCAGAGTCCACATCTCATGAGTGTGCAGCCAAAGTCAGATGCATCACGTCTTTCTTGTCAGAGGTAGCTGAATCTCATGAGACATTGCCCAAGGCAGACTGTAGACTGCTGGTCTTGGAGGCCAGCTCAGGCTAAATCCAGGCTTGAATGCCATTGCCACATGACTTTGGCATGTTCTCCCTGTCTTTCATTTAGAAAGACAGGAGCTTGCCTTAGGGTCGAGGTGCACAATGTCTGGAGATGTTTCCAGTAGTCCCAAGTGGAGAGGTGTCATTAACATCCCATGGACAAGGCCAAGGTGTGCCTACAAATCCCACAATGCACAGGCAAGCTCCTGAACATAGAACCATCCTGGCCCAAGTGACAACAGTGCAGTATCTGTGGGGCTCAATGGCAACAGTCAGGGAGGTGACCTGCAGACTTAAGGTGAAGTCATCAATGATTGGTAAAACTATATCCCTTTGATTCTAAGATGCAGCTGTAAGTAATGTATGCACTCACTTTGGTGAATTTCTTCATGTAAACAGGAAACACAACTACATTAAATAAACTTACAAGTATACTGGCTACTGAAGTTATTAAAATGGAAAATTGCATTTAAGCATCAAAAAATCTGGCACCAACTCTATGTTCAACCACAGATAAGCTGCCTCTGACATTTCTCTGGTAGATAATGGAGGGCAAATCTGACCCACTGCTGGGTCTGAGGAGTCTATGGGTCTTATGGGTAGGCAAAGGAACAGGCAGACCTCTTGCTTTGACTGGATGTGGCATGAAGATGCCCCTGTAATGTGGGCTGTGATTTCAAACACAACAATGAAGCACCACTTACTTTTTCAGAGCTTCTCTGAGGTTCTTAAATCTGCCCTCTGATGACACAAGCTTTTGGAGCTTGTCAATCAAAGCTTTCGTCTAGAAGGAATCAGAAGCATTTACTGACATTCAACACACATCCAGGCCCCAAGCCCCAGGCTCTGGCCCATGATCCAGCAAGCTGACCTCAGGGCTCCAGGCTACATTTGGATTTGGGGACTTTATGTGCCTGGCAACCTCACCTATGTACTCTTTAGGAGTCAGGCTCCATCCCTGTCATAACTGCCTCTCTTCATATACATCTCCCAGAACACCAAAGTTAGTAAGGACCCTGGAAACCAGTGAGATCCTGAGAACTGGTGATGTAGAAGGACTTACTGGGTGACTTGAGGGAGTATTCATTTAGAGCAAGAAATAACTAGTGTTTTCATGGTTGTGATTTTTTTTTTCAGAACCTGGGGCTTCTGACATATGAAGCAAGTGCCCTGCCACTGAGCTATACTGCAACCTTTATGATCATCCCAAGAGCTGGACCTAATGGCGTTGACCATTTTTTCACACTGTCACTTTGACAGGCAAGAATGAAATGCCATCCAAGAACAAGAACTGAGGAAAAAGATGGCAGAGGAACAGATCATCCAAAAAGGAAAGGCCTGAGTAAAAAGGATGAAACACTTGGTAAAAGGTGTATGAAATTGTCATCTAGGCCCGGGCTACACCTGACTAGGGCAGGGAATGGACAGCTGGGTTTGACTGGCAAGGACAACTACATTCCCAGGAGAGTACACTGCACTGGGTCTGTCTTTGTGATCCTTTCCATGTCTGGTCTACCAGCTGTCTCCTTGAGATCCTCAGGTCCCTCATTTATAAAAGGATAGGAGGGATTAACTTTTCTTTTTCAGATCTGGCCCTCAAAATGCAGAATGGAGCTGAGAAACTGTGCTGTGGGTGATCATGCATCAGAAGACCAGGAGTCGTGACCAGCCCCAGAGGGACGTAGCCACAGGCCCCCACATGTACAGTCACAGAACATGCTTCCATGCTGGTAGATGCTCTGTGTGCATCCTTTGAGGAGGAAGAGAGGATGAAGGCATTGATTGGTTTGGCTCCTTAGCTATAAGAAGAGGGAACACTGGTGTTTAGACTGACCCTGCTCAAGGCACAAACACATTCGGATCCGCTGACAGAGATGCGTGGCGGCAGAACGTGTGACTCTGGGTTTCCTTTAGAATTGGCTGTTAGCACCCTGGCAAAGCCCGAGGAGTTCCTAGGCCAACCTCTGACAGGGTCAGGGTGACCACATGTACCAGAACTTCCCACAATGGTACCCTCCTGCCTTGTCCATGGAATGACCCAGGATGGATTCAGGTCAGATGTGGGGATTTAGCACCAGATCTGGGGCTTTCTCAGCCTCTGTCAACCAGCCTCAGCATGCACAAGAGCAAATCCCCATTTCTCAGATATTCCCTAAGGGCAATACTAGTTCAGGTATGGTAGATTTTGGGAGACAGATACCCGTATTTTGAGGCCATTACCATGTAGTCAGACTCTCTCTCTCTCTCTCTCTCTCTCTCTCTCTCTCTCTCTCTCTGTGTGTGTGATTTGTGGATGTATGTGGAGGTGAGAGGAAGTGCCTCCAGAGTCCTCCTTCTACCATGGCTCTGGGTATTGAACTCAGGCTTGCACTCTACTCACTTTACCTACCAAGCCATCTCACTGGTCTTACACAGGCTATTTCTGATGCATGGGAATCAACTGCTTTGAGAAGTGCACAATTTGATTCTTTCCTTAAGCCTGCTGTGTACATAGATCATCTCTGGGTGACCACTCTCTATCCAGGATAGAGTTTGGGACACCATGGAATTTTCCCATCATGTTCTGCTTTGAAAACCATGTCATATGTTTAGGCTGGGCTAGGAGCTTCCATCTTCTAATGCTCCCTGGGGTGTTAGGCTTTCTGGCTGAGTACCCCTTTTCAATGGGCAGAAAAGGGGGAAGCTTTAGACATGTAACTAGAATTAGGGAACAAGCAAAGAGTCTTCCTCAGGAGCACTGTCAAGAAGAAAGATGCTTCTGTGGCCTTCAAAACACCTTTCTGTCCTGTTTATCGATCAGAAGACATCAAATGACAAAGAATGTTTCCTCCCAAAGGGGCTAAGACATATTGGGAGCTGAAGGCAGGCTTTTGTCCCTATAGATACAACCTCCCTGGGATGAGGAACCACAGGCACATCACTCATGGCTGCTGTCTCGAAGAGCCACGTGAGACACTTCCTCAAGGGACAGAGATTGTTTGAAAGATGACAGGAAGGGAACCGAAAGCAGAAAGAAGAAACATTGGGCTGACATACCAAAAAAAGTGATCAAAAACAAGACTGTGTTTTAAGATCTTGAAATGTGGCCATCTTGGTGGGTCACAGGAGTCCACAGGCTACTTGCAGAGAGATAACGAACCTGGTTTTGTTGGTGGGGTCATGGACAAGGCCTTCCAGAAGACATCAGAGCCCAGCACAGTGTAGATGCTTAGCTACTGCATGAGCAGAAAGGCCGGAGAAGCCAGCCAGTTCAGCCTACCATCAAAAGTTGAGGCCTGGGTGTGTTTCCTGAGGCATCTTTATTTTTATTAGACCAGGCCTGCTGCCTCCTGGTTTTGAGTGATGTTCTAGAATACAGGCCAGGCTGCATCCACTGACCACTAACTCCTCCTGTTTTAAACTCTCATGGAAGACAATGGAAGATTTCAGAATGGCCACGATTTGCCCCCACACTCTCAACTCCATGAGGATGGCGATGCTGAAGAAATATAGCCAAGAAATACAACATGTGTATTCTAGGAAATGTCTAGTGGGATAGGAAGTGAAGCCTGGAAAAGGTGCCGTCATCCAACAGTACTAGGGAGGGAGGAGTAAGATACTGAACCAGAATGAGCTTCCTCGTCTAAACCTTGACAAGCCATATTGACTCAGAAGACGGAACTTCTGCAGGGCCTTGTTCACCCCCTGACTTCAGTTTATAACAGCATGTGTCTGTGTGGCCAGCTGTCTCTCAAGTTCCCAGTTTCTATTTTTTCCTGGAGTTGTTAACAGTAAAAACATCTCTCATGGCCCCAATCTTGACCTGGGCATCCAATGTGCCAATAAAGAAGAGGCCCAGTGTTACTGAGATGTGAGGGGATGGTCCTATAGACTCTGAAGCTTGTCTGTAATCAGAGACTAGAGTGTCTGGAAAGCAGAGAAGGACAGAGGATGGGCACATCCTAAATCTTTCCTTATTTGGATGCTTAGCTAAGTGGGAAGATTTATGGAGCTGATGCCTGCTAGTGGGTAAAATCACAACCCGCTGCTGGCTCAAGGAAGATAATGAGAAACAGGCGATAAAGAGAAAAATGAAGCGGAACTAGAGTGCAAATTTAGAGGGCTGAAGATGGGACAGGCAGGCTCCTTAGCGATGCTGGGTCCTGCAAGGCTCTCTCAGTTGAAACACCAGAGATATCGTTGTCATATTACAGGTGCCTTTAGAGGTCCACTTATCCCTGGTGATGCTTGTCTATTCTTCTGCAGACATGTAAACCAGGGTTGGGGCACCTACTGAGTTCACCAAGGAATTGCCTCATGGTGTGCTCTGTTAGAGAGAGCTCTTCTTATGAGCTACTCCTCATGGGCCTTCTGCACAGAACTTTATTGCCCAAAAAGATTCATCTTATGCTTTTTTTAGAAATAATATTCCAGATGAATAGAGATCAAATTTATATTTTAGGATTACCAATTATCCAGTAGGTCGCACAGATCCAGTGGCCAGATGGCTGGTGGAATTGGAATCTTAGGAGAGAATATCTTAGCCACCCTCCAAATCTTGCCTAGGAGCATGATAATGTTACTACTCTTGTCCCAAAGAAAGAAGAAGAGTGTTGGTGCCAAGTATTGCTGCCTCACAGCTCCCAATGTGGGGTCTTAATTGCCCAAGTAGGAACTGAAGTTCCACAGGTCCATGGCCACATCTGTGGGCCTGGCATATGTTCCTATCTGACGTGATTTTCCTGGAATTGTGAATCCTCAGCTCAGTTCTCCATTCACACCCATGGATCTGGTCTCCCTGCCCCCAATCCCAGCCCAGGCCCATATCTGGCAGCAGTGCCAGCCTCCTGCCCGCACCTGCTTAGAAACTTTGAGCCATGTCTTTTTGAGCCGGAAGATTGCACTGCGGTTCATGGAGGAGGTGATCTCTAGCACGGCATTGTAGTTGTGTAGGCAGCGGCATATGTCGGCCACAGCCACCCACTTCTCAATGGCGCTCACCCTTGCATTGATGTCTTCATTTCGGATAATTTCTGAAGCAATCAAGTTACTAATCTTTAAGCCAGTGCAATAAGATAGGAAAAAAGTAAGAGGAATAAATATTGCAAAGACCGTAAATCATTATTTGCAGATACAATTTCTTGTTAGAAATCCCCAAACAACAAACTGAAAAATAATCAATATAAAAAGGAGACATTTTCCTATAAGTTAGTGATGGTCTATTTACAAATACAAAGAAGCTGAATGTGGTGGCATGCATCTGTAACCCTAGCACTTGTGAGGAATAAGCAGGAGGATTCCAGGTTTGAGAGCAGCCTGAGACATAGTGAGACATTATTTCACTTAACAAAATAAAAACAAACAAGCAAAAAATATAATGACAAAGATTTTACCACTAAAATAACAAGAGAGCTGTGAATTACCTTAAAATTTAAGTTAATAAGAATAGAGCATAGGGTGTTGCATGGGGAAAAAAAAGTTATCAAATGGTCGTGTAAATACCATGTTTTCATAACTAACCCATTTGTTCAGTGTAAACCAATTAAGCTTCCAGTGGGAATTGCTTTGGAACTGGATAGAGTGGCTCTAAAGTTCATGTGGAAGAACAAAGAGTTATGGCAAGCCAGGGTCGGAGGGAAATTCCCATCACTTTCTTTTCTGAAGTAGGACACATACTTGGTGTCACATATGAGGTAGACTTCCTTGGAATCCTGCACCCTGCCAACAATCACATTCACACAAACAACTCATGTGTGAGTCAGAACTGGAGTGGCTAAGTTGGTTGGGCCCAAAGATCAGGGACCCAGAACTGCAAGGAGCTGGGAGTCTGGAAAGATCCACTTCCCTGCATGTTGGCTTGAATCTGTAATATTTTGAAATAGAAAGCAAGGCAGGCACAGAGGCACACACCTCTAATCCCAGCAGTTGGGGAGGCAGAGGCAGGCTGATCTCTGTGAGTTCAAGGTCAGCCTGGTCTACAAAGCAAGTCCAGGACAGCCAAGGCTATACACAGAAACCCTGTCTTTAAAAAAAAAAAAGGCAGAAAAACCCAAAACAAAACAAAAAACAAAAAACAAAACCAAAACCCTCCTCTGAAAGACTCTACCCAGCAGGGTCTCTAAGCAGATGCTGAGACTCACAGCCAAACTTTGGGCAGAGCTCAAGGAGTCTTATGGAAGAAGGTGGAGAAAGAAGGACCGGAGGGAACAGGAGCTCCATAAGGAGACCAACCAAGCTGACAAATTTGGGCGCAGGGGGTACTGCAGAGACTGATGCACCAACCAAGGGCCATGTATGGAGAGGGCCTACAACCTCTGCTCACAGGAAGCTCAGTCTCCAGGTGGGTTCCCTAGTAAGTGGAGCAGGGGCTGTCTCTGACATATGCTCTGTTGCCTGCTCTTTGATCACTTCCCCCTGGTGGGGAGACCTTGCCAGGCCACAGAGGAAGAGGATGCATATAGTCCTTGATGAGACTTGATAGGCTAGGGTCAGATGGTAGGGGAGGAGGACTCCCTCTTTCTATGAATTAGAGAAAAGGGGATGGGGGAAGAGAGAGAGGAGGTGGGACCGGGAGGAGACAAGGGAGGGGCTACAATCGGAATATAAAGTAAATAAATTATAAAAAATAAAAAATAATTTAAAAAATCTGATAGGCTAGGGTCAGATGAAAGGGGAGGAGGACCTCTCCTATCAGCTGACTAGGGGAGGGGCGGGGGAGGAGAAGAGGGAGGGAGGGCAGAATTAGGATTGGATGAGGGAGGGGGCTATAGCTGGGATACAAAGTGAATAAATTGTAAGAAATAAAAAATAATAAAAATTAAAAAAATCCAATGGGGAAAAAACCCAAAATTAAATAAAATAGAAAGTAAATAAAGTATAATAATACATCAACATGCATGTATAAAACATTGCAGTGAAATGCACTTCTCTGCAAGCTAGTAAAAATTAATTTAAAAAATCATTTAAGAGGTAAGAAAAATGACTTGTTATTGGAAAAATAACGGTGTTAAAAGGCAACTGCACATAAGCAAGTAAATCCAGCAAGAAACCTTTTGTGTCTATGCTTTTGTTTCTAACCTTTTGTTGCTATGGCATGGGTGCCAAGAAAGGGTGTTGAATTTACTTTTTTTTTTTTTTTTTACACTTATTTATTTATTTTTGCGTGTATGTGTCAATGCAGGAGAGTGGGTAACAGCACATGTGAGAACAAGTTGAGGGAGTTTGTTCTCTCCTTCCACCATGTGGGTTCCAGATAGGAAACTCCGGTTATTGGCCTTGGCAGCGGGTTTTCCAGCTGATACACATCTTGTCCCCTGGGATGCTGAGCCTTAGTGCGTCCTTACAGAAAACTATTGCAGTTAAGGGGGGAATGAAAACACACAAAACAGTGTGTGTTCTGTCAACTAATTAAGTTGAAGTAGTTAAAATAGTTCTCTCTATAGAAGACACTGGAATAAAAAAGAACTTAAAAAAAAAAACTTAAGAAAAAAAACTCCCAGCTTAAAAAAAAGAACAGGGCAGGGGGTTGGAGAGATGGCTAAGTGGTTTAGAGCACTGGCTGCTCTTCTAAATGACCTGAGTTCAATTCCCAGCACCCACATGGCAGTTCACAACTGTCTGTTACTCCAGTTCCAGGTGATCTGACACTCTCACACAGACATACATGCAAGCAGAACACCATCGTCCATAAAATAGAAACTAAAAAATTAAAAAAAGAACATATCAGTGGGACCCTCCACAGGTGAGAGAAACAAAATCAACACTTGCTAATTTATTCTACAAAGCCACCATTGTGTTTATACTAGCACCAGAGACAGGCAAGAAAGAAAGAAAGAAAGAAACCAGATGCCCAGCTCTTTATAGGCCGTGGCCGAGGTGGGTTTGTGCCAGAGGCACAGGGTCTTTGAAGACAGAAAAACTATGTAATTCTCAAATTTACCAAATCAATAGATTAAAGGAAGGAAGAACTCATGACCATCTCAGTAGCTGTAGAGCAAACACTGAATAAAAGTCAATTGATGATTTGCAGAGATGGGTCAATGGTTAAAACACTTGATGGTCTTGCAGAGGACTTGGGTTCAGTTCCCAGCGCCCATGTCATGTTGCTCAGGCTTACCTGTAGCTACAACCATAGAGGACCTGATGCCCTCTCTGACCTTTGTGGCATACCTATATATATTCGGGGATACACATGTACATTAAAAATAAATAACAATTAAAAATAAAAATTATTGGCATTCAAGGAATAGAAAGAGATTTTTTTTTCTAACTTTATCTTCTCTTACATAGGGGAATATTAAAAACTTTCCCTGTAAAGGGAAGAAAAAGGCACCTTGTCTTCCTCTCCATTCCACTTTGTCCTGGAGGGAGCTGGGGGGACTGTGTGGGTTCAAAGGGGGGACTTTTCTACTGTGTCCCATGGGCAGTGCCATTCAATCTCTTTCAGCTTCGGTTCCTTCCTCTGTAGAGTCAGTGCCATGGGTTAAACGAGATGGGAAGCCCTTCCCACAGGCCCTACCACGCAATATCAGTCAGTACACACTCTTCCTGGTTTGTGCTTACTCCATCCTGGGTGCCCGGAGTACCAGGGCCAGGAGGTGCCTCCCTCCCTGGCACTACAAGACTGCGCCTCCCTCATTTCCTGGCTGACAAGGGCATTCCTGGATGAGGTTTGTTAGGGGTCCATTTTTGCTGTGGTTGATGTGTGGAGCAGTCTGTGGCCAGGCAGTCAGGACCGGTGACTTCATGTGCTCCCACCTCTGACCATAGAAGGCTCTTTGCTTGTGTTGACTAAACTCAAGAGAATGAAGATGCTGTGTGCAAATGCTCTCGGGAATGGGACAAGGCTAGGAGAAGACAGTCCCATGGATGTAGATAGGAGAGCCTTGTGGGGAAATAGCTGGGAGAGTTTTTGTTTTTGTTTTTTCCAGAGCTGGAGACCCCGCTCTGGAGACCCTTTGTATGTGCTAGCAGAGCACTCCAGCACTGTGCTACATCCCCACTGTTTTTTTTTTTTTTTTCAGATAAGGTATTACTATGTAGTACAAGTTCAAGGTTGGCCTCAGCCTCCTGAATGTTGAAATTATAGGTGTCTGCCTTGGGGGTATTTTTATTCTCTCTCACAGTCAGCTTTCACTGTGCAGCAATGGCAGACATATGAGCTGCCACATCCAATCAGCAGACCCTTCCAGAACCTCCACGTCTCAGGATCTTGAAAACGAGAGGAGTCCACCTCTCCCGGGGGTGGTGTAAGCTTTAAATGGGATTGCCGTACACGCAGAGCACAGTACTAGGCAGTTATGGAAAATATTAGAGGCTACTTTTATTAAAGAATGTTAATACCCCTTGTAGCCACAAGCCTTCCCCAGAAGACTCTGAAGCTTGTTCAGCCTCTTCTCTGGGAAGAGATCCTGGGAACATTGATGCCTGTGTGCCTATATGTGTTCATATGTGTGTTTGTGCATGTGTTCATGTGTTAATGTGTTCATATGTTCATGTGTTCATGTGTGAGTACAAGTGTGTATATGTGTGCATGTGTGAGAGCCTGTTTGTGTGTGTGCATGCGTGTGTGTGTTTGATGCACCAGTCCAACCTTAGTGCCCTAATCAGACTCAGCTCAAGCCCTTTTTGTCACACACACAGGGCTACTTTTCTGTTTTTGTGCTTGGTTTCCCCTTAACCACTCCATTCCAGGAAAGCTAATGGTGGATGGAGTACTGGGAGGTGGGACTGGAGGAGCCAGAGGCAGGGCTATCTCAATCATGCCTAGGGGCAGTCTCAAGCTGTTGGATCAAACCTAGCCTTGTTCTCAGCAGCTCTGGGGCTTCTGATCTCTTCTGTGCTAACTTGTGGAGCCATCTTATCAACCACAAAAGACTATGTGGTGGCCAGGACATCACACCATCGTGTCTAGGGTAGATGAAACTGCCTAACATTTTTGGAAGGGTTTGGGTAATGCTCATGTCAGAGGGAAGTTGTCTGCCATTTTGCTTGTTCCTAAGGCTGAGATGCAGTAAGAAAATAAGAAACACACGCTTTGGGTCTTTACTGTCTAACCCTTCCTCCTTTCCATCCTTTCTGCTACTGGTCTGCTATGACCTTACTCTGAGGAGCTGTTCTTTGTGGTGACCACAGGCCTGAGAAGGCTCCTCAGGAGCCATTGCTGACTGATGGCTCTAGATGATTGTCCCAGTTGACCTTCACATGGCCCCTTCATGGTCATCCATTTAACAGGTGAGGAAACCGATACCGAAGTGAAGAAAGTTGGCCACACAGCTGAGGGGGGTGGTGGTGCAGCAGATGGCATGGCGCCAGCCTGCCCTCCACTCAGGCCCCTGTTGGTCCTGCCAACAAAAAGTCTGGCAGAAAGGCACTGCCCACGCATGCATACTCACATCATTGAAATGCTTGGTGGTTTTCATGATGTAAGGCGTCCTTTCATTCTTCTCTACCTTCATCCAGCCCTGTCCAAAGAACTCCCTGCAAGGAGGAAAGGGGATCCCAGAGCAGATGAAATTAGCTCTGCTTTGCTCATTTGGTGTTGGGTCACTTCTTTGTTTGTTTGTTTGTTTTTTGAGGTAATCATTTGTAGGGGAGCAGCCCTCTGCAGAAATGCAGAGAGGAAGGACCCTTGAGCTCAAGCCCAGCTCTGTTCTGCACTGGGGGAGGGGGACATTCTTTCAGACAAGTGCTTTGTGTCTTGGGTACTTTCCTCATCTGTGAAATGGGAGACCATCGTGAGACTGAAAGGAAGTGGGGTAGGAGATGGCTGAGCACTGTTGTGAAAGTGTGTAGGCATATCAGATTTTCCTATGGATTTTTGTGTCTACATTTTGGCCACTTTGTAGTAGCTGGTCTTCAGAATAGAGGTGATAGCCACAAAAGGGGCTTTGGGCTAGAGCATGCCCTTGGTTCAATTCCCAACACTATCCAAAAATGGTGGGGCATAAGAGGATAAAAGAACTGCAAACAAGTTCTAAGAGTGCGTTCTGGCCTGGGAACCTAGTGGGGAAGCCACAGACTTGCTGCTAGTGGTCAGGAGAGGTGCTTGGGTCAAGTCCCACAGGCTGGTGCAGCCTCAGGGAGGTGACACCTGTGAACATGCACCCACAGGGAGGGAGGCAGGAGTAGCACTGCTCCCACATCCTGAGGGTTGGTCTCCAGGTGTTATTGGGTGAGGCTGCACTCCTGCCCATGGGCTGCAAACGTGCCTCTGGAAGGCAAACTGAATGCACGAAATGCCCCGATGATGTGTGGCCTCAGACACGTGAGACCAATGTTGGGAAACTGTTATGTAATAACTATTGGAAAGTCAGAGAAGTGCCTTAGTGGGGAGGATGTGCAGCTTTAAAAGTAGCAGCTTTAAAAGGCCTTGACTTAGAATGTACTGCTGAGGACATGAACAAATGCATGTCGTTTATTAGATGAAGAGAGAGATATAAAACTGTGTAATTACAGAGAACACCAGGGTGACTAATGACAGGGCAGGACAGACGGCAGCAGGCCTGAGGTTTCATCAAAGTCCAGAGTCATTCCCAAAATTTGTTCTTAGGGCTTTCACACACACACACACACACACACACACACACACACACACACACACACACAC